AAAAAAAAAAAAAAAGGGGGAGAAATTGTCCTCAGTGGGCCTGATTTAATCAGTGAGTGCTTAAAATGAGAGTCCATACCCAGAAATAAGAGGTCTGAGAAATTGAAAGCATTTTCCTATCGGGTCTTTCTTTTTCTGTTTTTGAGACAGAGCTTCCTCTGCCTGGGCTAGAGTGTAATGGCAACATCATAGCTCATTGCAACCTCAAATTCCTGTGCTCAAGTGATCCTCCCAAAGTGCTAGGATTACAGGTGGCTAGGAGTTCACCTGGCCTCTGTTGGGTGATGAAAAAGCAAATTGCCTTGGGTAGGGGGCTGGGCATGTGGCAGGGAGCAATGATGGTTACTAAGAGCTGAGGAACTCAGTCCTATGATCATAAGAAACTGAATCCTTCAAGGTGTGGTGGCTCATGCCTGTAATCCTAGTACTCTGGAAGGCTGAGGTGGGTGGATTGCTTGAGCTCAGGAGTTCGAGATCAGCCTGAGCAAGAGCAAGACCCCTCATCTCTACTAAAAATAGAAAAACTAGCCAGGCATGTGGCAGTCACCTGTAGTTCCAGCTACTCAGAAGGCTGAGGCAGGAATATCACTTAAGCCCAGGAGTTTGAGGTTGCTATGAACTACGATTGGGCTACTGTATTCCAGCCTTGGCGACAGAGTGAGACTCTGTCACAAACAAACAAACAAACGAAAAAACAACTGAATCCTGCCAAGAACCAGGGAACTTTGAAAAGGACCCCAAACCTTAGATGAGTTCCTTTGTAGCCCAGCAGATGTCTTGGGTTCAGCCTGATGAGACCTTAAACAGAAGACTCACCTAACCAGTGTGTAGATGTACTCCACAGAAACCATGAGATTATAAATCTGTGTCATTTTAAGCTTCTTAAATTTTAGCAATTTGTTACACAACAATAAGAAACTAAAATACTTAGGGAGAAGCTTAATGAGACAAGTGCAAGAGTTATACAAAGAAAATCTTAAAATGCCATTAAAGGACCTTCAAAGAGACTTGGATAAGTGGAACATGTTGGGTACACAGACTCAACATCATATAGACAGCAGTGGTCTCTACATTTGTTTATAAATTGAACACCATCCCACTGACACACTGATACCAGTACTTTTCTTTCTTTCTTTCTTTTTTTTTTTTTTTGAGACAGAGACTCAAGCTGTCCCCCTGGGTAGAGTGTTATGGCATCACAGCTCACAGCAACCTCCAACTCCTGGGCTCAAGC